TATGCCACGAAAGGTTAAGGCAGTTCTGAAGGCAAAAGGTGCCTAATAAAGTGGCCAGTGAGTGTATATACTCTTATTACACTAAACTACATCTTTTAGTCTAATTGAGAGCTGTATGCATTTATGACATTTAAAAGCAGGTACAGATATCAGAGTTTCTCTTAAAACTGGTAATTTAGCAAAACAGGCTCATTGGAAATACGTGCTTCAGTCTTGATTTGAGTGAAACAGAAAAAAAAAAGGTACTTAAACATACGTTTGGCTGCAGTTTATGTAAATTAACTCTAGGGGGCAGTGTGATGCCAACAACTTTGGTTCCTTTTCACACTAATGATATTTACAGAGAGAAATGATCAAGGATTAAAGGATTATCTAAATGCAGTTCTTTGCACACTAATAAATATCATAAATCAGCTTAATAATGTGTAATGATTATGTTTGCGTCACCTATCTATCTCCATATGGACAACATTTCTGGCATGGTCAGTTTGCTCAGGAGCTCACCTTGTACAGTGTTGTGCTCCCAACAAAACATACAAAAGCAATGCACAATCAAGGTAAACTATGTGAATGAGGTGTCCTGGAAACATATTTCAGACTGGCAAAAATGTAGACAGCGCCACCTAGTGGATCTGTCATCAGAAAAGTGCAACAAACTATACATTAAGTAAAATATTTAAGATTCACAAAAATTGAAACAGCGCCCTCTAGTGGATGTGTCATCTAAAACATATGACAAAATGTACCTGGAGGAACATATTTCAGGTTTAGCAAATATGTAGTCTGAGGTATTTCAATTGAGCACACCCTTAAACTCTTAAATCATTATACATGAGCTCAATGCTGGCAGCCAATCAAACGTCAAACACAACAGCACTCCCATAACCAACATCATACAGTGAGAACTACTCATGTTAGTTTATTACAAAGCTATTTACAGTACAATACTCGTTATCCAAGGACTTCACTGACTGTGTGCCAGTGTGTGCAACAGGCCATTGTAATCAGTTCCCTCTGTTCACTTCAGCTGTGTTTGAAATCGTCAGTACTCTCTGTTCTTCAACCCAGCTGTTAAACACAGAAGGACCTGCTTGATCTTGTCCATTTACGTAAGAAAGGCTTGGTCGTTTATGTCTTGAAGTTTGCCTGTAGCACTGGCAGATGATTCAGTTAATTTCTTCATAAATACCGAGAGCTGAATGAGTTTTTAATGGCATCCCGTGTGCGTGCGTGTGAAAGCAAAGACTTTGGAAACGTCAGGTGTGTGCCATGCTTTTTGTTTCTAATAAAACACACACACATAAACATGGATTACACAATTAGATTTGGAAACATTGCTGTCTCACAGCAGGAAGGTCGCTGGTTCGAGTCCCAGCTGCAAGTTAGCATTTCTGTGTGGAGTTTGCATGTTCTCCCTGTGTTGGCGTGCGTTTCCTCTAGTGCTCCTGTTTCCCCCACAGTCCAAACACATGCGCTATGGGGGAATTGATTAACTAAATTGGCTGTAGTGTGTAACTGTATGTGTGTGAGAATTAATTAATTATTTTTTGTGTTAACTCTAATGCTAATACCAAACTAGCTATATAGTTGTTTGGACTTAATTTAAGTTAATTGAACTAGTAGTGATTTGATAACTGAACCAAACTCATGCGCTATAGGTGAATTGGATGAACTTAATTGGCCGTAGTGTATGAGTGTGTGAATATGTATGAGAATGAGTATGTATGGGTGTCTCCCGGTACTGGGTTGCGGCTGAGAAGGGCATCCGCTGCATAAAACATATGCTGGCATAGTTGGCGGTTCATTCCGTTGTGGCGACCCCTGATAAATAAGGGATTAAGCCGAAGGAAAAATAAAAGAATTACTATTTTTCTCCGCGTTTTTTTCATTTGATTTATTCTGACACTTGTATGACTGAAGTTAAAGTGTTGGGGAATTTTTAACTATATGCTTTCATCAAACTAACCCCATCACCATGTATATAACACCATAAATAGTTTTAAACTTCAGCAAAACCTATTTAAAAGACTACCACGTGTTTAGACACAATATATTATAATGAATGCAATGATACAGGTTTAAAAAACACTGCCGTAATGCAGATCTTAAGCTCTTACGGGTGTATACTGTGTTTTTTTTCAGTTGTATTGTATTATTCAGCAATGAACAGGCAAACTTTCCTTAAAATATAGATGAAAAATAGAGATTTTACAGTACAGAAACAGATCAAAATGTTGCAATACAACAGTAAGATAAAACCATCACTCGTTTTCAAACGATTCAGTGTCCAACAGCGACACCTTGAGCCCAAAATAAGCATACAACATTTCAAAAAACAGGATACTATTAGAAATTTGTGTTACATTCAGAAATTCGGTAACTGCTTTAACTGTTAAAGTATTGTATGGTTCTGTATTAATGTCTTTAGTTGTTCTTTCCACAGTGTTGTCTACAAGTCAGGGGTAGATGTTTCACAGATTCTGGTTCTTTATGATATGAGCGCATGCCCATAGCCAGGGGGTTTGGAAGACCCGCCCTCACTGACAAAGGTCCAGAATTTGTCCCATGTGCTCATTTGTCCTATTTTGGCTGTTATGACAACATAAATACTGAAAATAACCCATGGGAGAAACTGGAGGACAACCCACGCCAACATGCAAACTCCACACAGAAATCCCAACTGACCCAGCCGGGACTTGAACTAGTGACCCTCTTGCTGTGAGGCGACAGTGCTAAACACTGTGTCGCCCCCAGAGCCATATATTGATGAATGATGTTTTGATGTTTAAACATTAAGTTCTGATTGAATTGCCTCTTGTCACAGCTATGAAATAGTTTGATAACAAGCATGAAGTGTTCATGGGCCAGTGACATGACCACATTGAAATGGTCTATCCTT